ATCTAGCCCCAGGGCACTCACCACCAAGGGGGCATGACCAGGGGAAGCCTCCGCAACAGTAGCAGCAACTGACTGAGAGGCAGATGCAGATGAGCCAGGACCTAGGGGAGCCCGGGGCTGGGGACCACCCACACTAGGAGGAGAACCCACCTAAGCCTGACCCGCAGGAGCCTGGACCTGAGAACCCGGAGCTCCCTGAGGAAAAAACCGGGGGACCTATTGGTTGCACACCAGAGGCCACTATGCCCCCTGAAGGGGCGGGGCCTAGCAGGACCACCACCGGAGGGGAAACACCATTAGTCAGGACTGTAGGGCAAACCTGCACCTCAGACAAATTTTCAGGCGTTATACCCGCTACCCCAGTGTCCACAACCATCTCACCAACACACTCAGCAGAGTCTTTCTCCTTCTGTACAGACAGCGGCTCCCCTGCCTTTGCCAGCACGTCCTTGGGGGGATGAATTGCAGCATGACAAAGGCGGCACGCTCTTTCACCACCGGCTTGGCCGGCTTGCAGGGGATGACGTCATTTCTGGCCTCTTCCTCCGAGTCCTCAGATATAAACCGGAAGTCTGCTCCACACAGTTCCGGCACCGCCTCTGCCACGAACCACAATCCGCTCGCCAACTCCGCCTCCTCCACCTGGATCCCCCAATCCACAGGCTGCTGCCCAGGGGGAGGGACTCTGATGATAACGCGACCACGCTGTCATTTTAGGCGCCATTTTTCTCTGAGGATGCTGCGGGCTCAGCCTGCCCTTGCTCCTGCTCACCTTCCACCAGCAACTCCCCCGACAATTCCTCCACCGAGGAGGCCTCCTCCACCGGACCCCGCATAGCCGCAACACTGCGGCTTCTTGCGGCCTTAAATCTCGCTTCATTCAGATACTTTTCACTTAGGATGCCGCTCTTGTGCTGCAGCGCCGCCACATACCTCCCCTGCTGGGACACACGCAATTCCAGCGCCTGCAGGCTCGGTTTCATGGCCTGCCGCTTTGTAGACCATACACGGTCGTAGGATGACCGGAGTTTCTTTAGATCCAGAGTCAGCTTCTGGAGCTTGGCTTCCTCCTTCTCTACTAACCTGGCCGGAGCGGCCGCACGGTCCCGATAGGGGCCATTCCCAGGTCCTCTACTGGTGGAAAGGAGAGGCCGGTACTAGGCCCCTCCAGGGCCTTCTCCTCGCTGGACCCAGGCCCAGGATCCGCCATCCTTCCTGGGCTTAGCACGTCACTTTAGCCCCAGGCTTCTCGGGCCTACCTGGGGCTTAGCAGTGCACAGTCCAACACAGCCTCTCCACACATTGTCAGGAATAGACTCACCACTGGTGGTGCTGTAGCTCACTTCCTCTGTGGGATGCAGTACAAGTGCTGGCCAGCGGGTGCTCTCAGCAGCCAGAATCTCACTCCTGCAGTCAAGCCATCACCTGAGGCTGATTGCAGTTGGTGTATTTAAGCAGGACCAGGCCTGCAATCAGCACCTTGGTGTTTTCCCATGAGCCCCTGTATCTTGTTCCCTGTGCATCTGTTCCTGAGAGAAGTTACCTTGTTGCCGACCCTGCCTGATCCTGATTCCTGTTGACTGTCTCCTGCTCTGAATCCTGGCTCATCCCTATTTTTCTGCCTACTCCTATGCTGTTTGACCTCCTGTTGCTTTACCTTGGCTCGTGACCCATTTACTCTTTGCCTGCTGCTCTGTACTGATCTGCCTCCACCGTTACCGACCCGGCTTGTCTGACTACACTACACTCCATACTTTCATCCATCCCGCACGGATCCAGTGACTACTGTTTGAACCTGCCAGCCCCTTCACATCAGGCTCTCCCCCGGTACATACCCTCGGCGGACCCCTCTACCACAGTTGGGTGCACTCAGGGGCAGCGACCTGGTCTCAGTCCTGCGCCAAGTCCATCCCCACCATCAGGGGCTCTGGTGAAAAGGCAGACTGGGGCTTAGACTCTGTGCCCTGGGGAATCCCGTTCTGTGGGCGGTGCCTGACAGTACCTTACGGCATGCCTGACCATTCCACCTCTCCAGCCTGACTACGCCTGTGTTCCTGCACATATTGATATTAGTGGAAGGTTTGGTTTTGTTTACTGTGCGTTTTGTATATTTGGGCGGCTAATAATAAATTATATTATTATTACATCATTCCTGAAGCCTGCTACTTACCTGTGTCAGTCCACACATTTCTGGTCATACCTGGTTCCCTGACATATACAATGGTGTAATAAGGAGTCCTCTTCTCCTGGTCCTATTCTGGTGACACCCCAAATCTCAGGATTTTTTATTACTTTAGGTAATATTTGTAGACAGGACAAATAGAGAGGCTGAGACTCCCTAAAGGAGGCCGAAGCAGCAATAGAAACCAACAGGAGGTCTAATCCCTCTCCACTCTCCAGAAAATCAATGCCTTTAGTTCTTCTGTAAAACAACCCAGTGAAGGGATGGGGGGAGGGAAAATATGTTTGTCTTTTCCAGAAGGTTGGATGCAGAATACTTTCATGTCCAGCATACTAAATGAGTCCAATACTGGGATCATCTGAGAAAATGTGTTCTGTATTCCTGGGAGGGAGGCACCTATGGGTTGGTGTTTGTAGAAAATGAACACAGGGAGGACAATGTGCAGAATGGCAGAGATGACTGCATGGAGTCTGTAGTACTGAAACCTGCTCAAATGTATTACCCTCCCCATCCTCTCCATGGTCCTTCCCCACCCCATCCTTTCTAGGGTCCTTACCCCCCAAACTCTCTAGGCTTCTTCCCCTCCCCAAACTTTCTAGGCTCCAATTGCCTACAATTTCTCTAGGTTCCCTTCATTCCCCATCTTCTTTAGGCTCCCTTCACTCCCCATCCTGTCTAAGCTCCTTCCCTTCTCAACCTCTATACTCTTTTTCCCTTCTCTATCCACCCTAGTCTCCTTCTCTACCATTCTCCTTAGGCTTCTGCCCCCCCTCCCATCTAGGCTCCTTCCCATCCTCTCTTGGCTCCTTCCCCCTCCATCCTCTCTAGGCTCCTTCCCATCCTCTCTTGGCTCCTTCCCCTGTCCATCCTCTCTAGGCTTCTTCCCTTTCTCATCCTCTCTTGGTTCCTTCCCATCCTCATGCTCTCTATGCTCTTTCCCCTTTCCTACCCTCTCTAGCCTCCTTCCCCTCTCCATCCTTTCTAGGCCCCTTCCCCTCCCCATCTTCTCTAGGCTCCTTCCACTCCTCTTCCTCGTTAGGCTTCCTCCCCTCCCCATCTTCTCTAGGCTACGTCTCCCCATCCACTTTAGGCTCCTACTTCTAAAGCTTCCTTCCCCTCCCCATCCTCTCTAGGCTCCTTCCCCTCCTCGTCCTCTCTAGGCTTTTTCACCTCCCTATCCTATTGACTGACTCTCCTGTACTGAAAGTGAATGGTGACCGCTGCCTCTTTTGACTCTACAAGTGCCCCGTTCCGTCATCTCTTTACATCCATCTACTGGCTGTCTTTGTGCCAAGTGTGAGATAGCAGCGTGTGGCTTTATCTGATATCTCAGTGACTATCATCTACATATGAGGATACCTGAGGATTGTCCTCCATGACACCACAAGGGTCTATTACACATGTATGTGACCCCCATGAGGGACTGATCGGGTCTGCCTCTACTATCAAGGAGCTTGATTCTGCCCGTCCCTTCATCACCTTCCATTGACTACAATGTCCACATTATCTATCCATTCTATTCTATTTCATGTTCTGTCAGTAATGAAAGTCACGGAGGGTTGGGAACCCTGCAAGGGGGGCAGAGATATGTGACTGCCTAGTCCAGCCTTTCTCAGCCAGGGTTCCTCCAAAGGGTTCTAGGGCTTCCTTGTCACTTCATTGGGCGGTATATGGAAGTGTCACCAACCAGCCGTTTCTGGATACACAGCTTTGTCATCATTGCACACACACACACTTTTTTTTTTCATTCAATACATTTTTTATTATAATTTCACTTTCAACAAGATGCAAAAAAAAAAAATCAGGAGATAGTAAAGGAAGAAATCCGATTGGTCAAGAAGATCCCTTGTCTGGAATGTGGGGGCGGAGTCATTATTATTGGTGTACAATACAATACACAACGTGTTCCATTATTATAACAAAGTATTGTAGAAAAGATCCCAACATAGAAAATGGGGGAAAGGAGGAAATAAAGGCGGATATGAAGGGGAATCTGTGTACGGGGAACACCTTAACAATCACCACCATTTTATTCTCCAGGGCCTCTGATGTCACAGAATAGATGTTTGGGGGTTTATCTCATCTTCAGGACCAAAAATCTGCATTTTCCCATGTGTGCAAAATAATGCAGAAACAGCTCTGGCAGTGAGAGGGTTAGTGTGGGCTAGATGGGATCCCTCTGCTGGGGTGACATTAGAGCTCCCCCTAGCTGCAGCCTGGTAATAACATTGCTGGGAGGTCTCTTCATTTCTCTGCTCCATACTTCCCGTCTTTATAGAAACGTCTCCTGACATTTGGGGGTCTATTCATAGAATGTTTGTATAGCAATTCCCTCAGTGAGAGTTCATGTCCATTCCTCCTGTGTGAATGGGGGAACCAATGTTATTAGGATCACATCTGAGCTGCTGGAATGTCTTCCAATGATGGAAAATACATTGAAAACTTCTTCTCCTGATATCAAATGACCGACCTGGTCCCCCACACTTCATCCATGTCTTTGGGGGCCTCTGATCTCATGAACTGTTTCTGCCATGAAGAAGATCAGCCATGGAGTATATCTGAGGTGTATATCAGGGTGTGCTTCTTCCCCACATGAGAGAGCTGGGATGTCCAGCAACATTCATCTAGAAGACATTTCCACCAATCAAGGCACTAATATACCTCCCAGGGTTGTGTGGGACACCTGATGTACAGGAAGATAGGACTTCAGTGAGGAACATTTCCCTCAGTAAGGACAAGAAAGTGGCTTCTTCTTCCCCCGTTGTGAAATCTCTGATGAATGGAAAGATTGGACTTCACTGAAAAACATTTCCCACACTCAAGACAGGAATACGGCTTCTCCCCCCGTGTGAGATCTCTGATGTCTGTGAAGATTGGACTTCTGTGAAAAACATTTCCCACACTCAGGACAGGAATACGGCTTCTCCCCTGTGTGAGATCTCTGATGACTGGAAAGGAATGGACTTTACTGAAAAACAATTCCCGCACTCAGGACAGGAATACGGCTTCTCCCCCCCGTGTGAGATCTCTGATGTTTGTAAAGATTGGATTTCACTGAAAAACATTTCCCACACTCAGGACAGGAATACGGCTTCTCCCCTGTGTGAGATCTGTGATGATGTTTGTACAGATTGGACTTTGCTGAAAAAACATTTCCCGCACTCAGGACAGGAATATATGGCTTTTCCCCCGTGTGAGATCTCTGATGCATAACAAGTCCTGATTTGTATACAAAACATTTCCCACACTCAGAACAGGAAAGTGACTTTTCTCCCCCCATGTGAGAACTCTGATGTTTGTAAAGATCAGACTTCTGTGAAAAACATTTCCCACACTCAGGACAGGAATACGGCTTCTTCCCCGTGTGACATCTTTTATGCACATTAAGATGGGATTTATAACAGAAACATTTCCCACACTCAGTACAGGAGAAGCTCTTCCCTGTTGGAAGGCCGGCCCGGTCCCACACAGTCTGAGGTTCCTCAGGATACGAGGAATCCGATGGTCCATCTACACTGGGTGGTGCCGGATGGACATTGGAGGGAGCCGGGTTTTCTCCTGGACTATACTGTGTGATGTCCTCATCTTCTACTTTCCAGTCTGGAGACAAAGTGAGACAATCCTCGGAGATTTTCCTCATCTCCCGGCCATGGACTAAAATACAAAGACAAAGAGGATTACTAGACAAGAGCTGATTGGTCCCCCCAAACCAGGACTCCAACCCACAAAGGCAGCTTGGTCACTGAGGAACTTACAATTCCACCCTCAAGGGAACTAGGAAATGGCTCCTCTGATCTCCTACCAGGTCATTTCTTTATTCATGGACCTTAGTCAGAGAGTGAGGAAACAACCAGAACTGTCTTTTATAGGAGGGACAGTGATGAGGGGATTATAGGACGAGGGTCCCCCCACCCCCTCTATCACTCATCACCATCTTCCCAACACAAGAAGTACTGCACTTCCTTATTTAGTCCATGATTTAGTAATGAAGAACAGCGGGGCTGAGCCCCACCAGAGGTCAGAGAGTGAGGATGAGGGGAGAACAACCAAGATGAAGACTGGACTGATCCTGAGACCACCATCATTGGGGTACTGACTCCTCCCTCATTATCACTTTCTGTTTAAGGGTCCAAAGTTGGAGGATGTTATCACATTATTATCACCATGTAAAAGTCTGTGCTCCAATCACATCATCCGATATAAAATGTCCAGCTGGGAGGAAATGGGGGGAACAAAAGAGAATCCATATTATGTGTATATATAGCAGTGGGGGGAGGGGGGAGAGCAGAAGTCAGGCGTATGTAATGTACAACATAGAGTATATAGTGCAGGGGTCAGGAGTATGTAATGTACAACATAGAGAATATATAGTGCAGGGGTCAGGAGTATGTAATGTACAATAGAGTATATAGTGCAGGGGTCAGCAGTATGTAATATACAATATAAATATTAAAGTATAAGGATCAGGACTCATAATATTAATATTCAGTAATCAGTGGAAGATTAAATGTTTACTGTAGACAAGTTGCAGAGATCCCACACCGCTGCCTCCCATCTCCTGAGACTGCACTCAGTGACTTCGGTCTGAGACTATACAGACATATCCCTCCACCCGGCACAGCCAGCAGATACCAGAACAAGTAACCCTGGGAGAATTGTTCTGTCAGAGATCCTGTTAGACCCAGCCATGGGGAAGAAGGTCCAAAGTACATGTCCCAAATGTCAAGGTAGAGCAATCAACATTTTGCTGCCAGCAGAACCCCAGAACCTCCATAAATCCAGTCTAGATACATAAATTGTGTCTGCAGCACAGAGAAGGAAGATTATCCGAGAGAAATCCAGGAATACAGGACGGGGAACACAGCTCAGGAAAGTGACCAGGGGATTACAGGCTGATATTACCCAGTCCCCGCCCTACTCTGGACCAATCAGTGAGCAGTATGGGTGGAGGAATGGATTTAGTGTTCATGACCCACCTGTGCTGATCTCTGTAGGAGTGTCCTCCTCTATAAATGTCCCCGTTATTCCATCCTCCTCCATAGACTGCTGATCATCCCTCACATACGCCTCTTCTTCTTCTGCTTTCACCTCAAATTCTATATCGATTGGATCTCCACTCTAAATCAAGAAAATGAGAGAAAATATCATCTGTAAAATATAAGGTCACATAAAAACTCCACACATTGTCTGCACAAGTCCATGTTCTAGATTCTCCATCCCACCAACCTTGTAATAGTGAGGGATGGTGTGACCTTCCTGTGTGGAATCCCCGGGAATACAGAGGACGGGGACATCTCTCTGGGGGGTTCCTGGTATTAGGTGGCTCCATCATATCCTTGTGTCCTTCTGAAAACTCCTCCATCACTCCATACTCCTCATCCTCCTCTTTATACTCTTCTTTAACATCAATATTATCATCCCCGAGGATTCCACTCTGAAAGATATAATAAAACATTCATTGTAACAAACATGCTGTGTATAAATCACAACTACCAATAATTGTCATCATCTACCTGATGATGGTGAGGGATGGTGTGACCTTCCTGTGTGGAATCCCGGGAATACAGAGGACGGGGGACATCTCTCTGGTGGGTTCCCATGACTGGATCCATCTGTAGGAAAACACACACACTGACTGAATCCATTGTTTCTATGTGTTTATCAGATGATGGGGGATCTAGGTGGATCCTCCGTACTGCTCTCTCCTTTACAATAAAGTCTCCTCTTACCCGGTGATGTGAGGGGTGGCTGATTGTCCATCATGACGTCCTTGTAGAGATCCTTGTGTCCTTCTAAATACTCCCACTCCTCCATGGAGAAATAGACAGTGACACCCTGACACCTTATAGGAACCTGACACACACAATGATACAGTCACCATCCAGAGACACATCCCTTGTCTGTTACTGGAGAATGTCCCAGAATTCCCGGCACCGCTCACCTCTCCTGTCAGCAGCTCAGTGATCTCTCTGGTGACTTCTAGAATCTTCTTTTTCTTTCTCTCTTCTGTCAGGGAGGGAGGTGGTGGGCAATGTGATGTCATATGATCTCCATACGTTCTGGTGCCAAGTTTCCTCCCCCCAGGGTCACTGCAGGTGTGGAGAAAAGCTGTGTAAGAGGATATGGAGGAGAGATGAGGAGGAGATCCAGGAATCAGGAGAAAGGTCAGGGCAAGCAACAGACGAGCGCATCCAAGAGACCAAGCCGGGGTCACTACACAGAAAATCAATCCAAGGAAACAACAGGCAGGACGAGGAATAGCAAGAAGGAGCTGAGAGACAAATGAGAATATTGCTCAGCCAATGGGAGATGATCTCAGCATGACTTCCATCATGAAGGAGATGAGGGGGGAGGGGAGGAAGTCACTGAAGGTGACCATAGATCCATGGAAATTCAGTTGGTTCAGCAGGGATCGCTCACATTTCCATCCATGTGTGGCCACTGCCGGATAAAAGCCACTCCCCCAGCGGCTGCAGCCAATAGCTTCAGTGCTGATCTGTGTATTCTGTCAGAATACAAGGGTGCAGCGGGGAGGATTCCCCCATCACCTCCAATGTGTGGATGGGGGAATTGCTTCAGTGTGTTCACTCATCCCGCTGGCTGAACGATAAAACTGAACCATGTAGGCCAGCTTTTGGGAGCAACATATATTATCAACTCTTCCCCCTGAAGGGGTTAATCTACATATTACCTCCTCTGCTGCCACATCAGAAATGTCAACTCTCTGCTCCCTCCTAAGTCACCCCTCCCCTGGAACTTCCTGTCTTTATCTGACATCACTTCCTGTTTGTACCTGACATCACTTCCTGTCTGTCTTCCATAGAGACTTCCTGTCTGGGTAGAAGTGAGATCCCCACCTTGTGGAGCTCAGAGGAACTGCAGCCCCGAGAAGTGTCTGGTAGTGTGACCCCGGCCTTGTGCTGGGTGTGTATGGACTGTAGATCCTTATAGAGGGGTCACCTCCACTCCCACCAAGGGGGACAGAAATATATGACTCCTCGGGGGAGGGATTTGGCCCCTTTGATTTTGCAGTAACATTGATTGCAGATTTAGTCCTGTAGAACATCTGGTATATGGATACAAAGCCCCCCAGCTGGGAGTAAAGGGTGGAAATGGCTGGTGACCCCCAGATTTGGGCAATGATGTCATCACTATAAATGGATAAAACCCGCGCTATGTGTGTAACAACTCCAAACCTACAAAAACCTTCTAGCGGACTGCTGCTGTAACAAAGGGAAGGATTCCCTGTCATCTAGAAGAGCATTATGTGTCACAGCGCTGTCCTATTGTGTGTGCACAGAAATCATCACAAATACACTACAAATATGTGGAGACATTCAGAGATAAAGAGCTCGGGGCTCCAAATCCTATTCTCTGCACATCCACTGCTTCCACTTTACACCCACTTCATTGGTCTTATGGGGTTTATCAATAAATGAAGGAAACTGAACCGTGTGCAAATCCATCCACAACATAAAGTGCTTTGTGCTCAAGATGCTGCTCCCTGCAGATCCACTGCTTCCACTTTACACCCACTTCATTCATCTCATCAGATTTGCTGCTATAGGAAATCATCTCAAATCCTGTGCAAATCCATGGAGACGGACAATATTGTGTGCTCAGTATAGTGTTCTCTGCAAGTCCACCGCTTCCACTTTGCAGCTACTTCAATCCACTTATTTTACTTCAAAAATCCACTAATCAGTGAAAAGTTGATGAGGTATGAAAGTGCTCCGCCCTCCAAACTGTCAGCTGTAGTGTAGCACGCCTTCTTCCACCTCTTGTACACGGGATGGTGAGGGCGCCCCCTAGTAGTGCTTCCCCCTCACCACACCATTAGGACTCCCAGCTTTTCAGCTCCCAGAATCAGAAACATCCTTCACACTCTCCTCATCTCCGATGGTAAAGGAACCGGATCCTCCTCGCTCACTCCTGCAAGTCTGCTGCGGGGTTCTGTCAGTCTCCCTCCTAGACTCCACCTCCGACTGCCATTCCAGCAGGAGCTCCGCCTCTAAATACACACACAGGGAGGAGAGAAAGGGGAACCCGACATCATGTGACACCTTTTATTACATGGAAATACGAAAATCAACGGGACTAATGCAATCACATTTACTGCAAAATCAGAGGGGCCAAAATGTGTCCCCCGAGCAGTCATATATTTCTGTCCCCCTTGGTGGGAGTGGAGGTGACCCCTCTATAAGGATGTACAGTCCATACACACCCAGCACAAGGCCGGGGTCACACTACCAGATGCTTCTCGGGGCTGCAGTTTCTCTGAGCTCCACAAGGTGGGGATCTCAGTTCTACCCAGACAGAAAGTCTCTATGGAATACAGGAAGTGATGTCAGGTACAGACAGGAAGTGATGTCAGGTATTTTTATTATCATACAGTATTTATAAAGCGCCAATAGTTCACTCAGCGCTGTACATTACAAAGGGGACAGAACATGTGACAGAACAATACCAATACAATGCAAAACATGAGGGGATTGAGGGCCCTGCTCTTTCGAGCTTACAATCTAGGAGGGAGGGGATAGTGGCAGAGGAGGAGATAGCTGTGGGGGATGGAGTGGTAGGAAGAGTGGAGGAGGTCGGCAAGTTAGCAGGGGGTGGGGTAGGCTTCCCTGAAGAGATGGG